GGGGGGGGGGCTGATGCTGGGTGCCTCCTTTTTAAAGCCAGATTCTCCCCAGATACCTCTGTGCTATTCATCAACAGCTTTTGCAGGGCAGTGAAAAATCAATGTGCTCTGCACTGCAAACAGTTCATAATGACGGGGGATGGAGGAAAAAAGCTCAACTGCAACAGAATTGATTTGTTTAAGTACAATAACACGGCTCTGCAGCGCGGTGAGGAGGAGGCTGGGCGCCCAGACAAAGACTGACTGGCAGTATGAAACCACAAGCAGTAATTGACAAACTGCTGGCAAAGTGCAAATCTGAAATACAGACGCCTGTTATCTAATTAATGGAGTTTTCCTTCAAATTACCACCTAACAGAGGAAAATACACTTTGACAAGAGAACTGCAAAAAAAGCCTCTTTTTAAATGTACAAAACAAAACTCATTATTTATTCATTAGTTATGTGATGATCTAAAAATACATGTAAGTACAAAGAGGTCTTCTCACTTCAATTGGATTCTGAAATAGATCAAATATGACTAATAATGCTATGCTTATTAAGATGTATTACTAATTGTTCACGTTCCAAGAGCTAAAATGACAACCTTTAAGTTGCCTATTTTTTCTACATATTTATTTACAAAGATGTATTTTTAACTAATTAGAGAATCTTCACATTTGAGAATCTATTACCTGAAAATATCTGACAATTTTGATTGACAAATGAGTCAGTCATAATTAATCACAATTGATAGATCTTCACATACACACACCAGCTGTAATCTTTTGTACGACTCCAACACACACACAAACACACACTTTTGTTTTTTGGCCGGGAGTCACAACATCCTAAGCCAATTCAAAGCAAGCACAGTGAGGGTTTGATGTTGCATAAAGCGCAGTCATCAGGATGTTTTAAAAAATGACACCAGGCTTCACCTAGCAAAAAAAGCTTTCACTAGGTGCGATTTTAAACCTCCTGATGCTGCAAAACAACAGAAGCTCGGAGTAAATTGTGTCAAGACAGGCCAGCACAATAAAACATTTCTCCCGGACTCTCTTAAGCTGACCACAGAGGTGCATTTATCATTGTTATTATTCCTTCAGAGAGGCCCTCCCAGGTTTAATTGGGTCCTCATGGAGTCAAAATCCCTGCTGTCGCTGAAGCCACCGGGGCTGGACAGACTCATTCCTCCCCAGTCAGCACGGGGTTTTACTGGCTGTGTGAATAACAGTCATTCCGTGTAAAGTGGCCGTGAAACCCGCGGGTGAGTCAAAAGGGTGGTGGGATCTGGACGCGACCCGCTAAGCCTGGACAATGGCAGGCGGGGGAGACTCTCACCTGGCTCTGCTCTCAACGCGGTGGGAAAAAGCTCTCGAGAGCCACAGGCTGCCCGTCCACCGAGCCGGCTCTTTGGGGTTATTATTCCCTGCGGCCCACATTTGCATTTTAACTGGTAAATACAGTAGGTTTTGAATGCACATTGGACATTAAGCAGGTGAACAAATGAAACAGGAAAGGGATTAAAGAGCCTTCAATTAAATAAGGGGAGACAATGAGCTTGTGAAACAGCACTGAAAATGAAGCTACTTTGCATGGGTGGTGTTTGATATGCTGTTCGCTGAGTGACATTAATATTGGTCGGGTGATACATTTGATTTCCTTTTCAGATATGTGGCAACAGTCTGTAGTTTTAAAGAGCAGACATAAGCAGAGCAATGTGTGAAAAGGAAGAATTTTAAATCTCAGTTAATACAATCTCTCAAACTGCTGACCTCCCATTCACCCCCTCCACAGTGCTCCACTTCCACTCCGTGTTACATTGGCACAGAAATCACAACGCCTCCTTTTGGCTGCTTCCTGTTGTCGATATGCTCAAGACATGCAAGATTAACCAAGATACGCTTCTCTGCTTTTCAAAAACACACCCGACAAAGACACTTGAAGTCAAAAGGAGGAATGCTGGAACAGCAAAATGTAGGAATGACAAGCTCGCCGTTTGTAATGATTTTCTGCAGAGAAGCTAGTTTTCATTTTAAGAAGATAAAAATAGGGCTGTGTAAAAACACGATGGAAATCATCTCCCCCTCAAAGCCTGTGTTTACATACACACTCATAACGTGACACTTGTAACTGTCATGCTAAACTTTAAATTGGATTATTTTACTGGAGTTAAAGTTAAAGGAACTCATTAATTCTCAAGTGCATGTTTTGTGTAGACGGGCTGCAAATAATTATCAGTTTCATTACACAGTAACATACTTAGGACTATTTCAGTTATTAATCTGACTGTAAATTGCAATGTAGAGAAGGTCATTAGCCATAGGCGGATTTTGCGGGGGGGCAGGGGGGGCATTGCCCCCNTGCCCCCCCTAGTGGCTGAAATATGTTACAGCATTACTACGTCAAAAACTGTTCCAATATTAATATTTCAGATATCAATATTTTAATAAGGTAGTTCAACGGTTAATAATATTGTAGCGTGTTCAAGTAACCAAGGGATATAGTAGTTATCACATAAGTATAAGATGTGCACAGTTATGATAAGTTGTACAGTTATGTAATGCACTGTTGTTGGGGGGAGAGACCACCCCTTCCATCTACGTGTGTGTGTGTACGGCGGGCATGAGGCGTGCATGACAGAACGAGTTGTGTTCATATGTGGAAAAGTCATACTCAGTGCGGTGAGCGCTGGCTTTATTGCTACTGTATCCGTAGCACCCCACGCAATAGTTGTCCGTAAAAAAGGTTTGCCCCCCCAAGCGCAAATGTCAAACTCCGCCTATGTCATTAGCACATATTAGCACAAATGTGTCCGTATTTTCTCCTGATTTTCACAAAGATATGTCTTAACCTACAAATCACCAAAATGATGCTAACTGGGATTGTGTAGCATGTCCCGTGGTGTAAGAATGAATCTAACACAAAATCAACAAAACAATCGTCAAAAAAAAGAAATGCTGTGTTATGTGGCATTACAAATACAAGCGTTCCCCATACTGTATATGAGTAACCCAGTAAATAAATTAATCATGTAAACTCGGGTTAGTGCAAGTAAATCCCTTTATCGAGTATTATTGTAATCTTGTAATTTGCAGCTGTTAGGTTTTAATGCATCTATGTACTGTACATACTGTATATGTACAAATCCAGGTTAGCAGGGGAGGGATTGAACCTTCTCCCAACACACGTGGCGCTGGTCTCAGAGGACATCCATATGAAACGATTACATGTAGTTGTGTGGCAAAGCCGTAAACACACAGTGTAGGCAA